ATTAATCCTGAGCTGTATGTGCCTTTATGATCTGTTTTGTGACAACCAGAGCTTTGGGGTTCAGGTAGGGCTCCATTAAGTGCTTGGCTGGGAAGAAACACAACTCCTCCTACAATTTGCACACTTATGCTAATACCAAATCTGTTCCAAGAAGCCAAACACCTAACCTTCAAGAGACCAAGACCTTCCCTGCAGAGCTTTCTGTGAGTCACTTCTGATGTTAAAGGGACAAATCTTGACTTGCACAGAATCTGTAAGCAAACAGCAGAGTCTGATCATCACTGTACAGCTACTCTCAATCACAGGATGAAAATGGGTCCCAATACTCAGGGAATTGTTTCAGAGAATAAATTCTACACTTTGACAACAAAATTCAATTTAATCTAACAGTTGTAATTGAATGTGTTTTAAGTAAATTGCTTTTCCTTTGCAATGGGAAAAAATTATCAGAACAGGGTTGTCAAAACAGCCATCACCAAAGAACTCAAGTTCATCTTGTTTTATCTTTGTTAGAGGCAGTGAACTTAACAGAGAGGAATTAAATAAAGCTGAATATTTTTTTACTTTATTTTCTTTGCCAGGAAACAGTTTATTTTGCTAGTGAATTAAATCGTTAGTTGCACAGCAGTCAACATTTATAAAGGGAAAAAGATTACATAAATTGACCTGCCTTTGACACATTCCTCCTATGCTGCATGAATCCGGATAAAAAACAGGAAATATCTTTACAATATGCATTGTTAACCTGCAGATGTGTTTATAAACGGTTTATATTCAGATTTAATTTTCCATTTTTCAGTTTAAATATGATATGCTTGGTAATAATCATGAAAATATAATGGTGATCAGAAGATGGCAAAGTCATTAGTCTTCCATTCCCTTTCCCTGATCTATCATAATTTTAAATATAATATATTCCATTACAGAGCCTGATACAGCTTCCTCCTTCTGTAATAGCTAACTAGAAAGAAAAGTCAGAGTTAGTCTAATAAAAACATTTATACATTGTTCAGTTTAATGTTGAAAAATGAATGCATTAGTCAGTTCTCATGAGGGAAAAGATTTAAGAAAATAGTCTTCCCCCTGCAGGCATTTGACAGCAGATGGGATAAAACACAGGAGAACTTATGGTAGGGAAGTAAAAATCAGTGAGGGAATACACTGGGCAACCCAATCGGTTTCTTTAATCTCTAATTTAAAAATGAAACTTCTGCAGACTGTTCTCATATTTATGTCAGTTTGAAGTCTGCAGCTGGTGGTTTTTCTAGGCTTTAGCTTTTCAGATTTTTTTGTATGCATCACATAATGCAAGAGAGTCTATTTTAAATTAAATGTGTAAATGGTTATGTTTCTTTATCACCTTTCAAAAAAGATCTTTCCTACACAAGTTTCTGTTTCCAGCATAACCATTTCCCTTTCCTGACTTTCCCATGTGATTGTACAATTCTTCCTCTCCAGACATGGATGCACCTTCTCTGGTCTCTTCCTTGAATTCCTCTGCTGGCCCCAGGATCTGATCTTCTTTAACACAATTTCAATTGCTCAAAAACTCTCCTATTTAACTCTTCCTTCTCATTCACCTTAATTTCCTTTCAAGACATGAAAACCTTTAGTCCCTCTCATCAAAATCCCACTCTCCATTCTCTCTCACCATACCCTCTCTCTTCTCTGGGCTCATTCACCATGGATTGCAGTCAATTTGGATCCTCCTCCCTTCCTTCCAGTGCTTCTTCCATTTATCTTCCACGGGTTTATTCCATACAACTGCCCTTTACAGGCTTTAATGACTCATGTCTAGCCAGAATTCAAACCCAGTATTCTTTTCTCATCCTTCATGATTTCAATTAGCTTAATCATAATTAATCTTTTTCATGTCCTGTTGTCTCATGAATTTCATGAATATTTTGAATCTTTGTCATCCTCTTATTTTTGGAAGCTGTATTCCAATGTGTTTATCACAAGATCCTTTCTCCCTGTTCCTACTTTTGGTTTCTAAGGACTCTGCTTTTGATCCTAAAATTCAGTTTAAATTATTTAATTAGGCATTTTAACACAAATTATAGTAAGCTGGGTTTTTTCCCCTCCAAATCCATAAGGAACAACACATTTCCTACCAAACTAAAAATCACATATTTATGTCAGATAAGGAAACAGAATGTGCAAGTACAAGCACCTGGACAGCAATGGAAAAGAACACAAATATTCAATCATATGGCAAGCACAAAGAGCTATTGTTTTCCAAGTTATTATTCAAAAGGAGGAAGAAATGAGGTCACAGTGGAAAACTATCACCTGACATCAGCTTGATTTCCTAAGCTTGGCTCCCCAGTAGCAGGGCATCTCTTCACATAAGTGCTTTCTATAAGCTGAGCTCATTTTTATCAGGTTTCTATATATTAGAAAAGAATTACTTTTAGTAGTTTTCTACAAAACAGCACACAGATCCATACAAAATTCATTTTCAGCACACACACTTTCTAATAGATATAAACCACAGAAGATCTGCAAAATTTCTCAGATTAGAAATGGACAAAGTAACCTTAGATTGTTATGATTGTTCTATTTCTAGGAATTTTAATATTTAAAAAATATCTTTGTATTTAAGTTTTATTGCCTTCTGAAATAGCTAAATTTATCAAAGATTGTATTTTAAACCATTTGTAAGAGATGTCTTTCTCCTAAAGGATACAAGCTTCCAAAAAACAACAAAAAAGAATCAATATAGATTTTATTAGAAGTGTGATGAATATATAGATATATATGAATATGTTCAATCTGTTCTTGGCTAGTTAATGTAAACGTGATGGCAGGAATGACAGACAGATGTCATGTAAATGACATCATGTAAATAAACACAATTTAGGGTAGATACAATTGGATATTTAAGGAGGATTTGTATAGAGCTAGAGATTGTCATAATGATCAAGTTCATGTAGAATGTCGTCTGTTCTGAATTACTGGAGAAAATAACATTTAAAACCAGATCCAAAACAACCCATGATATGTTGTATCACATTATTATGGTTGGTTTTCTTGCAAAAGACTAAATTTTAAAAAATCCTGCCTGTGAAATAAAAGGCTGTAGCTTCCTGGCAGTGATTTGAAATGAAAACTACAAACTAACCTCAAAACACTTCTCCTTCTCTGCTTCATGCAGAAGTGCAGCCAGGCCGGGTAAGAGCACTGGGAATATGTAAAACTCCAAGTATTCCCGAGGAGAACCTGAGCAAAACAGGACAGCCTTCACTTACAGCTAAGCACTTGGATTTCACAAAAACACAACTACTAGGTATCACAAAATCAGTAGCAGTCATTTTGTCGATACCATCACAGCTTGGACAAAGCAGATTCATTCCCTTCAGATACAGCCACTGCTCTGTCTTCACTTCTCAGCCAACACAACACAAAGTTGAGAAAATTTCAAACTAAAGGTGAACCAACACTGCAAACTCAGTGTGCCTCAGAGATGTCAGATTTAGTTTTAAGTGAATAAGCTCAGACACCAGAAGCAGTTTAGTCACAGAAGTGACTCTGTAAATTAATTTAGCCTGACAGGAAGATATTAGCCTGTGCTGAACTCAGTGCTGCTGCAGTTAGACCACTTTGCTATCTCATACCCTTTACAATCTGCATTATCAGAATTTCTAGAGAGAAGAAAAACCAAAGGTTATATTTTAGTGGCGCTGTGATTTCTTTGTCACAATTGCTTCATACTTGCCGGATCCTTCAGAGATTTTAACAGGAATCCATATATCCAACTTTTCCCCTCTCAGATAGGTCTGGGTTGACACCTCTCTCCATTCAGGTTCTGGTGTGATCAGCAAAGGTTAAGTCATAGGAGTGTTGTCTTCTGGCAACACAACTGAAACACCGAATTTATTCTCAGCTTTATATCTTTAATTGGTTCATATGTTGCCAGAAAATGCTCATAATTGGGAGGACACTATTTATATAAAAGCCAAGGGTAACACTGCTTCTGACCTGCACCAGGAATTCCTAATGAGAAAGAATTAATGGAAGAGAAGACAAAATGAAGGGCTACACATTGCTGCTTGGTAAATTTATTATAAAGTATAGGAATTGATAAAAGTGGAAGAACAAAACTTCAGAGCTGTTTCCATTCTAATCTGTAATCAGATGGATAAAGACAGTATTTTGACAGCAGTTTTCAAATTCAATTTTCTACTTAGTCAATTGATCCTAGTTTTGGATATACTTACATTTTTTTGGATTGGGGGGTTCTCCAGAAGGGGTTTCCCCGAGTATGGGAAGCACATATTGGTCTGCAGAGGCAGAAAAAAGTTCTTCCATAGGTAATGGCTGCAACATTGCTGCTTCCAAAGGTGCCTGTTTAAAATAAATGTATCCTATCTAAATACCCCAACAGACTAGACAAAAATATACAAAGCACTTCAACAGAAAAAAATTATAAGGTCAGTTAAAAATTATGGGATTATAATTTCTAATTAAAATATTGTGTTATTTATGTATTTTCTGAACACTTGAGAATATATAATTACACTTTAAAAACTTTTGCAGTTTCCAGCACAATAAAATCATCCAAGCCTGACGGAATGTATATGATTCCTTTTGACAGTACATGATGAGATATCACAATTTTACAAATATTTTATCCATCGTAAGAAATAGCAATTATTTGGAAATTAATAATGGTAGAATTTTCTGAATAAGTATTTTCCACTCAGAAGCTTAAATATCTCTTTCATGTTGTTCAGAAGTCCTGACATTCGCCTTTTAAAGAAAATAAACTTTTCTTATTAGTATTACCCAAGTTGCTTTAAATACAAGCAATTATTTGGAATATTACATTTGTTGGTTCAAATAAGTTGTTTGAAAAATAATTTTGTTTTCATTTTATGATAGAGTCTACCCTATGGGTACCTAATTTTCACATTTAGTTGTCTAAAATATGTTAAATCTATCTCTATGCAGATTTTTTACTTGAACTCTACTCACTGATCCTTGTGATTCAGGATCTTGTTTTGATTGAGGAACATTTGAAAATTGAGGCTGTTCTGCTTCATGCTCTAAAAGTAAAAAAAAAAAGTACATTTATCAGGAGACACTAAAAAAAATTATTTTCCTTCTGAACCAACATTCTTTTTTAAAGGTATTTATTTAGGTTTGAAAGAACAAAAGTCAGTATGCAATAAATATTTGTTTAACATGAAATCTAACATTTTAAAACAAGCAAGAAGTTTAGACACTCTTGCATGTCCTCTCCTGAGCTTTAAGTGCAAGGTTCTCACTGACAAAAGAACCCTTTATTGGGAAAAAGGTTTTTAACCAAAATAATAATTCAAAATATTTCAACATAAGTAAAATGCACATGCTTGCACAGAATTAACCATTATTTGTACTAGTAGATAAGACTGCTTTTCTGAGTAGATTCCTCTAAAAGCAATTAAATCCCACAGACATTGCTAAGTATTGCTGTCTCCACTTCAAAAAATCCCCAAAAATCCAACAAACTAAAAGCTGTACATGACCCTCAAGGGTTACTGAGTGTCTCAGGCTAAGAAAAATAAAGGACCAAGACACGAAACTTGATATGAGAAAACCTCGAGCTTGCACAACAAAGAGCACTGAGCCCAGCCCGCAGGCTCAGTTCCACCACTGCAGTCAGGGTTAATGGCACCACCAAAGCCATGTGCGCTGCAGGAGTCTGAGAATAATCAACCTTACTCCTAGGTGGAAAATGGCCATTTTAATGCAAAATCCCTACTTTAGGCTTTATGAAGTACTGAATGAAGATAACCCCATTGGGGAGTTGCAGAGCTGTCTCCCAGTTTCCCATCTCAATGTTCGCAGACTTTGGGAGAAGTGAAGGGCCTTGCAATAGAATGGTGCTCTGGGAACAGATGTTTTGTGTTCACGTAACTTCTGTTCCAGCAATGCCACAGCCCTGTGTGCTTTGACAAGGCAGAATCTCACTTCGTTACAGGATAACCCACAGAGCACAAGGGGCAGCTCACAGCCAGGCAAAACAGGGCCCCGACACTCTCACAACAGAAACACACACAGAGCCCGTGTCTGTCGGGAAGTTGTTACAATAAAAACAACACAAAGCCCAGAGCAGACACGCTCGTGGTTTTGGTGTCGGTGCAGAGCAGGGCGGCTTTGGGCACCGCGCCCCGGCCCGCAGCGGCGCTGAGGAGAGCGAGCGGCCCGAGCCCGAGCACGGCGCTGGCCGGGCAGCGGGGAGGGGCGGCCTGAGGGGCGCCGGGGGCTCGGGGAGGGATCCGTGCCCGGGGGTGCTCCGAGCAGAGTCAGAGCTGGGGCCGGAGGTCCTCAAAGCAGAGCCAGAGCCAGAGCCAGAGCCGGGGCCGGGGCCGTGCCCGGGGCCGTGCCCGGGGCCGTGCCCGGGGCCGTGCCCGGGGCCGGGGCTCCCACCTGCTTCGTGCCCGCCCAGCGGCCCGCCCGCCGCCATGGCCGCGTCCCGCGCGTTGCCGCGGTAACGGCTCCGGCAGCGCCCGCGCGGGGCGGGGCGCGCGGGGCGGAGCGCGCGATCCCTTCCGGGGCGGCGGCGGGCGCTGCACGTGGAGGTGAGCGCGGCACGGCCCGAGCGGGCTTGGCCCGGCCCGGCCCGGCCCGGCCCAGCACGGCACGGCACAGCGTGGCCCAACACCGGTCCGGCCCGGCACAGGCCCGGGCTCCCCGCCGCACGGCCCGCTCGGGATGCGGTGGCGGCGGGGCCGAGCCGGGCCGGGCGCTGCCGGGGCCCGGAGCGGGGCGGGCTCGGGTGACGCTCCCTGCCCGGTGTGCAGCCCGCGGATGGGCGCCGTGAGCCCGGGGCTGGCACGGGCTGAGCCCCCGCGGCAGGGCTGGACAGACGGAGAGGGGCTGTGCTAGACCTGGTGTTCTTTACGGGGATTTGACAGCATGCCTTATTGGCATCCTGTGTATTAGTTATTACAAATCAAATAGGAATTACTGAGTTTCTCAGCAAGTGAGTGCTAAAGGCTTCTCTGTTGTAACCAGTTCATTGGCATAAGTGTCTTGAGAAAAGAAACGGAGAGCAAAGATAAGAAATCGCAGACAGAAGCAAATCTGATAATTAATAATGATAATTAAGGTGCCTTGGAAGGATCTTGTAATGCTGAGTTGGCAGTAAAGTGATGTGAAGTTCAGTGTTAAGTGAAAAGTCACCTGGAAAACCACTCTAATTGTATTTGTTTATATCTGCACGAATATGTTTTGCCGGTGCAGAAAGATCTTTAGAGGGTAGGTATTTCTGTGAAAATGTTATGTTCTGCTGCTGTGAAGCAGACAAATAGAAACTTGCAAACTAACTGGAACGAGGTACAGTAAACAACATGGTAAAGTGAATCATCAAAGTAAACGTATTTTCTATATCTATTTGTATGTCAGTATATTCTGGTTCCCCATCATGGAAAGCAGACTGAAATTAGAAAGAGTGTCTGGGACAATGGGCGATAAGGAATGTTTCAGACTAAAGGAAGACCAAGTAGATTAAGACTTGCATCATCTCTTTGAAGTGGTTCACTAACATCTTCATTTCCTTTTTTAGAATGGTAATAAAGAAAAAGAGAAAAGAATTTCATGAGGAGCCTGTACAGAAAAAGGTAAAGACTATCATTAAAATTGAGGAAGATGTTCAAACGGTCATTAAAACTGACAACAAAGGCCGTCTCAAGAAAAAGAAAAAGAAAAAGGAAAATTTAAAAGATGAATGTTTACACAAATTGCAACCAAAGATTAGTAAGAAAAACAAGAAGAAAAAAGTTGGCTCTGAATTACTCGGAGAAGCTCATTTAGAAAGCTTCGTGAAAGGTCATCTGGATTTACAACTTCAGGAAGAATCAGAGGAACAAATCAAAATACTCAAAAAGAAGAAAAAAAAAGTCCAGTGCCGTTTCTCCTTGGAGAATAATGAGAATAGTGACATGGAGTTTTCAAATCATCACACAGATGGTGCTAAGAAAAAGGAATTATCTTTAAAAAGAAAGAGAAAGAATACTGCTTTGGATATGGAATTTGATGGTGAGGTAACAAAGAAAAAAAAGAAGAAAAGCGGTTTTTCATTAGAGGACATACAGGACAGTGAACAAAAGAAATCTGCAAAAGTTTGTAAAAACATCCACAAATACGTTTCACAAGAAGCAGTTTTTATGGGTGAAAACTATGACACAGGTAATTCGCAGAATGGTGGAGAGAGTTGTGTGAGAAGAAAGAAAAAGAAGAAAAAGAAAGAGACGTCTGACTGCTTTTTACCACTGGCAAATAATGAGGACAACATATATCACGTTCTTGGTAGCCCCACTGCATTAAGTGACTTCAGAAAAAGGAAGGAACGTAATTCCTGGGAATTTACATTGACAAGCAGAGAGGAAGAGGACAAACTTACGAACTTCATGAGTATTAAAGAGAGGAAGAAGAAGAAGAAGAAAATAAAAGATATTTCTTCCTCAACCCGTGAAGAAGATATGCCAGATTGCAGTCAGAGCATTCCTGATAAGCATCTCCCAGCACAGCAGGAAGTTGATGTTGGGGAAGAGGAGCTGTCTGGAAAGAAACAAAGGAAGAATTTCAAGGATAATAATGAAGTCAGTAAGAAGAAAAAGAGGAAGATTAAGAAGGAGGAGAAGGAAACAGCGTATTCAGAAGTTTCTTTAAACAATGTCAGTGCCTCTAAAAGCCAAAATATACTACTAGAAAGCAATAAAAAGAACAAAGAGAGTGAACTGGAGCAAGCTCAGTGTGTTATGGGGGATGCTATAGATGGGACATTATGCAATAGTAACCCTGTGCTGTGTGACAGAAAAAGGAAAAAAAGGAAAAAAGTGCCACCACAGGACTTGGTTGAAGAACGGGACTTAAAAGCAGTTCCAAACAAGATTAAGACAGAATCACCATGGAATGAGTCACAGGTAAGCTGTAGAGAGCAGGGCAGCTTTGCACCCTCCTGCTAAGGAACTGAAAGCCTTTGGGGCAGTTTCCTGCTTTGCAGGCTGCTTTGCCTGGTCATAACATTAAGGTCAGTGAGGGCCCCCACTGGGTGTTGGGAAGCAGGATCAGCTGATCTCTTTCAGCGTGTCAGAGCTCACAGGAACAGAATATTTTGAGCTGGAGGGGACCCAGAAGGATCAAGTCCTGCCCTTAACTGAAGGGCTCATGCAGGGATCAAAGCTGCAGCCTCAGCACTGGCAGCACCGTGCTCCAGCTGAGCTGATCCTGGGACACGTGGGGAAGCACTGATGCCTGCTGCTGCAGTCATGGAGTGTTTCAGTTGTGAAAATGTCAATATTGGCCCAAAAAGAAAGTGGGTTTGTACAGTCATAAATGTTCAGCTGCTTTTAGCAAAGTGGCAACATTCTTCATAAAACAGGAGTTTAATACCACATCATTTACCCTGAGCAGGTGGCAACCCTGGCAGCATGAGTTCATCTAACTGTTTGTTAGACTTTCCTCAAGCTTTGCTGCTGTCAGTGCTGGAATTATGTAATTGTAGAAACAAAAGGGAAAGTCAGCCAGAACCTCTTGACTAATTCCGACAAAACTTAGAGAAAATCCTAGGAATCCTAAGTGTAGACTGGGCCAAGACCATTGAAATAAAAATTCTAATAGAAAAATACTAAAGACCTAAAAACACAGTTTTAATTAAAACACTAAATCTATGCAAAAAAAAAAAAATAAATAGATGTAAGAACTGTGTAAATTGTAACTGAGGGTAGCAGGGATTGTATCCTGACTGACTGGTAAAGGAAATCTCATCCTAGACTCTTGTAGTACTTGCCACTTCTGAGGCAAAATGAACATGGGGAGTAACTGATGAAATACTTGAAATACAGAAGTTTTTTCTTTATCTGATCAAAGTCATGTTTTAAAGCTAAGGGTGCCAAAAGTTAAAACCCACATGCCCAACTTCTGTTGTTTTCTTTGGGAGTTAAGCTGTGAGATGCTCAGAAAATCAATAGGTATCTATCTGTATTTTTAACTGCTTAAACTTAACTTTGAAAACGTCACATTGCAAGTCATTAGGAGGTT